ATGGTGCTTGAAGGCTGCCCCTCTCCGGGCTTGGCTTTGCAGGAAAATAACCCAAACCAAGATTTGTAAGTACATGATAGCTTTGGTAGTCCAGAGCAGAGAGTCAAGACAAGGTCAGGTCCAGATCTGTTGTGAGGCAGTTGTAAAAACCCGGTCTTTGTTAAACTGTTTGCTGTAATGATCTGTTTGCTGTACAGAGAATTATTCTGACACCGAATATTGCTTTATGCATTGAAAAGTGACTTCAACAGCCCAGGTAAACTGTTTTATGATGCCTATTGTAATCCCCACCCACTTCTAGGGATTTGGGACCCACTTTTTTTTTTTGTGACTGAATTGCTCTGGGTTGGATCTTACCTAAAAATACCATTAATACTGTTTTCAGAAAATGAGAATAAAATCAACTCCTCCATGCAGGGACAGAATGAAATTGTATTTGGTCATGACTCATATTAGCTCTGGCATTCCCTGACTTTAGAAGAATTCCCGGGGTAGTTACATGCAGAGATGCTATTAAATAAGCAAAAGAAAAGGACTAAGTATGTAATCAGTTTTGGTAGGAAAGACCTAACCCAGGAATGGAGAAGCTCTGTAATTGCTAGAACTAAAGTGTTGGTGGGAGTTCAAAGCTGTCTATAGGAATGACACACTTCGTCATCTTGTGTAACTCAATTCCCTTTAGCCTTGAGATGTGCTCCTGATGTTCGTATGCTCCTTGGACCCACATCCCACCTCTAGGGGTTGCTTCTGACCCCTCTGGACCAAGTGTAGGAACAGTCCTCCCTCCCCAGATGGTACTTTGCAGCTCCTGGGGAAAAGTCTCTTCAAGGAGATGGGGTGGAGATGGGGGTGGTGGGCTTTGTTCCACCTGGCAATGGTGGCCCCTTGGCTGGGGATGGTTTTGCTACTGTGAAATCCATGTTCTTGGTGCTTCCTTGTCATTTTGGGAGAAGGCTGCGTCAGCCGGTGGTCACTGGCTCATGGACTTCCTCTAAGGGCTTGCCACAAAGTGGAAAGCCCTGTCTGCATCTGCCGGAGGGAAAGACCTGGCTCTCCAGAGCGGAGCTGCTCAACAGGTTTCTGGGCTTGGACTGCTCCTCAGGCTGCAGCAGCACAGTGGCTTGTGGTTCCCCGGGCTGCCACAATCCCTCCAGGCTGGTGGAGCCCTGCCCCAGGCACCTCCTCTCCTCCACCAAGGGCTTTTTGGTGGCTTGTTTCTCTGCTGGGGAGTATTTCAGCTTGCCTGTTTCCTTGAGCCATCACATTTCCTTCTCCATCAGGGGAGTTTTGAGGTGGACTTCCTGCAGGTGGTTATTCCACAGCTGAGCTGGGGCTGGCCACCACAGGCTCGAGGCAGTCAGGCAGGGTAGTGCAGGGTCCCCACTGTGACTGCCTCTCTCCTGCAGGCTCCAGGAGGTGCAGGATGACTCTCTTTGACGGCATCTACCCCTTCTACCCGCAGAAGAGGAAGGCCACCGTGTTCGACGTCAGCATCATCACAGTGATCGTGGTCTTCCTAACGTTCACTTGCAGCTTCCTGCTCATCATCCCAGGCATCCGTGGACGGGCGGTGCGTGACCCCTCTCCCTGGGGAGAAGCATCTACTCCCCACGTTTTGGATGCTGGAACACTCCCAACTGGTTCAGGGTGAGGGAGGAGGACAGACAGGACTGTTCTTCCCTGCCTGATGTCCCACCTCTCTTCCTGCAGAGGCTGTACTGGACTCTCCGGGTTCTCCTTAGCCTCATCGTGGGAGTGGTGATCGTCGGTAGGTGCTGTGCAGTCCTCAGAGAGTGGGTCTGGGGAGAAGGATTAAACCCTGGGGCAGGGTCTGCATCTGCGAAATGTGAGCTGGTGGTCTCAGCTGTGGCCTGGATGAGGCTGGTTGCAGAGTCTATCCTACGCCTGCTTTACACAGCTTCCTAAAAGAGCTTCCTAATGCCTGGCACAGGGGCTGAGAGCACCTGAAGGTATCCGTGGTCACTTCTGAATCAAGAGGGAGCTTTGCTTGATATAACTGCACAGTGGAGGTTCAACAGCCCCAGCTCCAGTGAGCTGCACAGCCCCATGTTCCTCCAACTGTGTCTGTGAGCTGACACAGGCAGGATGCAGGAACAACCACAAAACCACGGATGAAATGCAGAGAGTGAACTCACTTTTGTTGCCTCACCAACCAGGGGATCTCTGCAGCAGCACCTGGGCAGAGGCACGCAAGCGGGAATGCTGGCACGGCAAAGCTTGGTCCTTGCTAGGGAATCACCGAACCTGCTACTCTTGCCTGTATTTCAGAGATTCACGCAGGTGTAGTTTACCACAGCTGAGCAGCTCAGACTGTGGCCAGGGACATTTGGAGGATGAGGGGAGCCTTGCAGTGATGTGGAGAGGACAGGTTGAAATAAAAGACGGGCAGGGCAGAAGTTCAGGCAGGTGGGTAAGACCTTCCAAAGAGCAAGGCAGGAGGAGATGGAGAGGATTTGACTTAATAGGAACCAGGAAATCTTCTGTAATAAATGGGAGTGGTGATGGAAACCAGGCTATAGGATTTCCAACCAGGACAGGGCGACAGGACATGCAAGCAAAAGATGTACTGAGGGGATAGAAGATGCCAGATGGGGAGAGCAACCAGCCCTGACCCTGAATCAAAGAAACTGTCCTGCTATGAAGGACAGGGTAGGTTACAAGACTGCTTGGAGAGGGATAATGAAGCACAACCTAAATGACTCAGTCTCAGGTTTGACCAGGCAATAGAAGGAGATAGCCAGGCTGTGACCAGCCACAGGACCCTGCTGGCTGACACATGGGCCAGTCTGGCCTGTGGTGGTCACCCTCCACCTGGGGATGTCCAGGTGCTGGGATACGCCACAAGAGCTGCCTGGGAACATGGTGCCAGGCTGGAAATGGCAGATGGGCGGAGGCCACGGCTTGCTCCACAGCCTTAACCAGGCTCAGCCCTGGAGAGGCATCCAGTGCTGCTCTTGTTACAAGGATGCAGCCGGGCACTGCTTGGGCACACAGGAGGAATTAATTGTTTTAAAGCCAGCATCAGGGTTTCTGTCTGGCAGCAGCAGTGCATACTCGACCCTGCAGCTAGAAAACATTCCTGCAGAGCTGCTACTGGATCAGTGCCCTCACAAGTTGATTCAGCAGCTGAATTTATTTTTGGGCAGGTTTTCTTATTCAGCCTGAGATTAAATCATCACCTTCAATTTCATCTCATTTAGGTGATGGAAAATTAAGCCCACCACCAAGTGAAAGTGTTTCAAAAAAAGGATACCTTGTTCCAAAAACCAAATACCAGCAACACTTCAAATTTTTCTTTTTCCTCCAGCTGAAATGACTGTCAGAGCTGTGATGACACCTGCCACCCCTCTCCCACCACTTGCGTTTGACAGTGATCTTCACTATTCACTAACAGTGTGGTCTAGGGAGCTTAATATTTGGAATGAAACTCACCCCTGAGGCTGAGGAACAGGCTCATTTCTGAGCCTTGTCCTTGGGGGTGTGGTGCTTGCCATGGTGGGGAGCTTGCAGGGAAGTCCTGGAGAAGGTGTGCAAGGAGGAGTTAGGTCATGGGGTTTGTCACTGAGGATCTGAGCTCCCTCACTCCTGGATTGAGGGAGTGGATGCTCAGCGAGGGGAGAACATGAGCTCCGCCAGGGTGTGGGAGCTGGTTGAGGCACGTCCTCATGGCTGAGTCAGCTCTCCTGCCCTCCTTACACTCCCTTGCAGTGCCATGGTGGGAACACCGCGTTCATGCTCGTCCATAATCCCCCCCTTGAGCACAGCAAAGCCTGAGACCATCCCCTCTTTAACACCAGCTTTACTTTTCCTGGCAGTTGTCCAATTCACGGCGGACTGGGAGACCGGCTGGGTGAAGGCAAATACCTCCTACAAGGCCTTCAGCCATGCACTGGTGAATGTGGACATCGGGCTGCATGTCGGCCTAGCAGGGGTGAACGTCACTCTCATGGGTGAGTCTGATGCTCCCTGTCTGCAGCTCTAGAGCGGCCATGGCCCCAGGAGGTCTCCAAGTACTCCGTGGGTGGCCTTGGACTATGTGGAGGCTGGGACACAGCAGGATCTCAGTTTTCTCCCTCTGACAGGAAACCCAGTGAATCAGGTCAATGAGACCATCAACTACAATGAGCACTTCGCCTGGAGCTTCGATGCAGACTATGACCACAGCTATGGTGAAGGCCTGAAGAGGGGCCTGCCCAGCCCCATCCTCTACGTGGCGGAGAAGTTCACCACACAAAGCCCCTGCAGCGTGCACAGGCAGTACCGCATCTCCGGCCACTACGCATCGGCCAGTCTCTGGTGAGACTTTCTCTCCTGGTACAGGCAGAGGAGATGCAGGATGTGGGAAGGGCTCTGCTGCCTTGTCCCTAGGCCTCTAAGGTGGATGGTGATTGCATGCTGCCAGGAGAAAAGCCATGCACATTGGAGGGGCCTCAGCAAGGTCTGCGGTCAAATCAGTGGCCCTGTAGGCACCTTGGGGTGTGCAGATAGGAGGTCCTCATTCTCTCTGCTGATCAGCTCCACCAGGGCTGGGCACAGGAGAAGAGGAACATGGTGTAAATCCTTGGCGTGATGTGGTGATGATGGCAGGGGTCCATCCCCATGAAGGGAGTTGAAGCTGCTGTCCTTGGTGGCCCAGACTGGCCCATGGGCATGTGCAGAACTCTCCCATCCCCATCTGTGAGGGTGTTTGACATCTGGGAGTGGGACCAGATGAGGAAAAGTTGATGATGCTTTTACTGTGGGGTCGACCTTGACTCTTTAGCAGGATCTGCTGGGCAGCGACATGTTGCTGCTCACTTGGGCTGAGGGAGAGCTGGTCCCTAGCTGTCAGGAGATGGTCCCGCCTACCATAGGTTGTGGAGGGCAAGGGCCATTAAAGTTCTGTTCCACCTGCTCTGGGTTTGACAGAAGGGATGCAGAAGCTGGGAAAGGGGCCTGGCAATGCCATGGGGCAAGAGCTTCTGGCCTATAGTTGAAGGCTTCCCTTGTCACCCATCTCCTCATTCAAGTCCAGAGCTTCTGCAAATGACCTATGCCTGCTTCTGCAATTACCCCAGTCCTGTGTGCTGCTTTCTGGGGTCTGCACTGCCCCACACATGGAAGGGTAGGGAGCTGAGATGGTCTAGATACTCTGAGTGGGTTGCCATGACCTCCTTGAGGCAGTTATGTTCTGCGGACTGAGCAATGGGAAGAGGAAGTCCGGGCTTCTGCCTTCTGGGTCTAGCAGTGTGAGCATTGCACATCTGCTTGCTCAGCCTGGGAGGTTAGTGATCACTCCATCCTGCCCACAGATCTTCTTGGCCTCATACAATGCGACCTGGAGCCCAGATTCCTCCTCCCACATGGAAATCCTCACATGGAGCATCCTAGTCCGTAGCACTTGCACAACTCATCCATTGGTCTTCTTTTGTCTCTAGGGTGGCTTTTTGCACTTGGCTCATCTCCAACATGCTCTTCTCTATGCCTGTCCTAGTCTATGGAGGCTACATGCTCCTGGTCACAGGGGCCTTCATGATCTTTTCATTGATCTCATTCTCCACTGTGAGGAACTCCCCGATGTGCCCGATACAGTTTGGGACCGCAGCCCTGCACACAGGCTATGGGGGATCTTTCTGGCTTACGCTAGTGATTGGTAAGGACCAAGCTACATCAGGGCACACCACATTGTCCCTCTGGGTGTGCAAGAGTCCCAGTGCTTTCCCCCCCCAAGAAATGGAGGTGAGAAAGCTCAGTAAGTGCAGCCCACCAGAGCCCCAGCCCGTGCCTTGGCAAAACAGATCCTGGCAGAGACGTGGAGAGGGCTGGCAGAAGGGGGAACATCGTCCCCATCTCAAGGATGGTGGAAGGATTTTTAGTCCCTAAAGTGCAGTAATGCAAGGAGGTGGGGATCACTTGCTTGGGTTTTAAGACCCATGCCTGCGTCTTAAGATGCTCAGCACAGCACCTGAAGCCACTTCATACAGTAGAGGGTCATCTTCCGTAGGAGAAGGCTTTGTCCCCTGGCAGGGGGCCATCAGAGAAGGGGTATGGGGTGGTAAGTGTGCTGGTGTTTACAGGAATGCTCTCAGGAAGTACATTGTCTTCCAGGCTTGCTCTGTTTTGTGGCTGGGATCACCGTTGTCACACTGCACTTCTTCAAGTTGGACGTATTGAAAACTTTCTTTGATCTCCGTGAGGACAAAACAGAGGAGTGCCAAGAAATGACTGAAGTGTACGTCAACCCTGTATGTCATTTTGTGGACAAAGGACTGTCTCCTCCTCAGCCCTCCAAACTCAACACCAACAGCATCTAGAAGAAAGTTTTCCCCACTCCTTCCCTGAAGGTGGGCCCGAAAGGGCAGAGCACAAACTCTTTTTGATGTCCTCAGTGACCCATTTCCCCATCCAGCTCTCTTTGAAGAGTGCAAGTCCACGTTCGGATAGGTACTTGCTGAGAAGTACCTTTGCAGACTGTATCTCCCTGACTGTGCCCTCTGGAAAAGGGCAGGCTTTGCAGAGAGCCAGCAGGCTGCAATCAGGGCAGCTCACAGCTCCAGCGGCTTGCACTGCACACTCACCTGGGGATCTCTGTCCCAGGAGAAGTGCCCTTTGTGCTCCGTGCCCTGGCACATCTTGGTGCAGTGAGTCTCCTGTGGCCAGTTCTCACACTGGAAACTGAGCTCACTGGTGAGATTTCTCATGGGGAGCACCTGTGACTCCAAAAGCCAATGATTAAACCCACTCATTTCTTTCCCAAGCACTGATATTTAGTGTAGACCTTTAGGTGTACCTAGGAGAGCCAGAGCCCAGACTTGTCAGGCTGGATGCTGAATGAGCTAGAGTAAAAAAGCTGCTACAGAAATCAAGACCAAGTAAATGAATGATGGAGTTTGCCACGGGGGGATAGGGTGATATGATTATTTTCACTTTCAGACATGGGCTTTATTACATAAGACTTGTAGTCTGGCATGGGCCAGAAAGATGCCACAAGAAAGGATGGAGAGGCAAGAATGAAGTTACCCCCATCCAGCTGGAGCATGCTTAGGCTGGCTGGGCTCACAATGAAACACAATCCAGAAGTCAGACCCAGCCGAGGGGAAGCACATCAAGTTGTGCTATTACAAACAGAAGATGGGCTCTGGCACCAAACCTACTGGCCTGATGAAGTCTCCATGGGCTGGCACAGGGAAATCACCATATCTGAATGCTGGAGGCCTGAGCAGCTTCAGTCCAATTAATTGTAAAGGACATAATTTCAGTATTTTCGCTCTTTTCTTTGTGAGAGAAGACGCTCACTGTTACTTACTTCTTTCACATGATATTTGCATTGCACTACTGTGATTTGTTATGCACAAGAATTATTATTTTCAATAAAATTTTATTAAAACCCCTCTCATTTGAAACACTTAGAGCATTTTTGGGGGCCGGTTTCTTAAGAGGAGACTGTGGGACATATCTGCAGGCAACTGCATGTGAGGCCCCAGCAGCAGAATCCTTCCCATGGAGAGAAGCTGCCCTGGCAGAGATGCCCCCAAGGAAGGACGAGGCTCACTGGCACGTGTCAAGGTGAGCCATTGAGAAACCCTTGTTGCAGGGAGCAGCATGCTGTAGGGATGTGGCAGAGCTTCAAAAGGACTTTAACTGGCTGAGTGGCAGGACAAGAGCCATAAGATTAAACCAACAAATCTCTCTCAGGAAAAGGAGGATCCTTTCTTGAGTCTTTCTTGCATCCAGACATTTCAGGTCCAGAGGCATCATGGGAAGGTGCTACAACCAACCACAAGTTACTGGGGCTGGTGTGGGACAGATCCCATGCCCTGAAAACACAGGAGGCTGGGAGGTTTCCCATCCTTTCTGCCACCCCATCTGGCACTCTTCAGCCTCATCTCCTGCTTTTAGGCATGATTCCCTGCCCCCTCCTCTGCCCAAAGCACCCTCATCAGAAGAAAAGATTTGGCCTGTTGCATCAGACATATAGGGGCATGAACCCAAATAAACAGATCTCTGTGTGTCTTGCCTGGTTCCTAGCAAACGCAGGACTGGCTGGGATTTCTTTAGCAGACCTTGCATTGGGCCAGCTGAGCAGTGGCAATGTCATAATGGGGTACGCAAAGACCCCTTCGTGCATTGTGTCTCATGCAGAGCGGGGGGTTAGGACAACAGGGGCTGGTGGTGTCACGGGGGCTGGCCACCTGCAAGGAGATTTGCAGGTGGAGGACTTCTTCCCTTGCCGCGACAAGGAGGTGCACACACAAGGGCCATTGCTCAAGGATCATTATCTTGCCTCACTACATGTTGTCATAGAAGCTTCTTCACATGCACTGTAAGAGCTGTGGCTGTACAGCCCTTGGGTTGTGCTGCTGCGGGTCCTACCTCCTCTGCCCACCACAGCTCCTGGCTCAGTTTCCTGGCTGGACTGAGCCGTTGTTGGACAACAAGACTTAAAATAATTGCCATTAAATCTCTGGCTCTTAACCCAGGCTTATTCTGGCCCCATGCTGCCCAGGGAATCTAACCAGAGAGTCAGTGCCATCAATGGAGCAAACACTGCAAGCGTCTCTGAGATGTCTCAGAGAGCACAGCCTGGGACTCTCCAAGGACTATGGTTCCCATGCTTGGAGGCACTCATTGCACCAGGGCATGCAGCCACCGTGCCATCTAGCAGGCAGCAGAGCTGCCCACTTCCCTGCCCCCAGGCTGGGCTGCAAGGGGGAACATGCCAGGGAAAGGCAAAGGTTTATGAGGGTTGAATTCCAATTCAATAAATAAAAGGGGGTTGTTGCACCTTGGATTTAGTCCATCTGAAGCATCTCCTGGTAGATGCCATTAGGAACTGGCTGCAGTCTCCCAAGCCCAAGGAGTTCAGCTCCAACCTATTTTTAAATGCCTGGTGGGTCCTCTAGGTCCTCATTGAAGGCTCTTCCATCCAGAGTGGGATGGGGCAGCCTGCCACGTCTGAACATCCCCTCCCCAGAGGGCCTGCCCTATGGTGGTCCCTCTGCAAACCTCTCTGCTGGGCTGCGGATTGATCCCATCAAACTTTCTACATGCCCAGGGTCACTCCAGTAGCTAAAGTCCTCCAATATCCCCCCAGCTTGTTTGCATGGCGATCCTCCAATATCCTGTTTACTGTGTGTTTTCTTGCCTTTGTTGCCCTCTCCTTCCCTTTCACCGAAACATTTTGTCTTCCTTCCAGAGGGCTACGAGAGCACCGATAACTCATAGGCTGCTCACAGGCTGGTGGCTGTGGTTTGGGGTGTTTGTAGGCACTGTAAGAAGCAGGAATCAACCAATCAACTCCCTGACTGTGCTGTTTCCAGCCCAATGTACAGCCCAGCACATCTCAGACTTATATTGAGCTTAAGCTGTGGGGTGTCAGGATGGGTCTGAAATCCAAGATCTGGTACCTCCAGCAACCTACTAAATAGTGGGCCTCTTTGCCAACTTGCTCCTCAACCCAGACCAAGAGGAGGTGGTGGATACAGGCACCCTGGTGAGCACAGCTCCACTTACTCTTCCTGCTTCCTGATGGGAAGAGCATCCCTGGGCAGAGGAGACTTCTCGGGGGCCTTCAGGATGGGGGTGCTGTTGCAGGGCCTCTACTTCTCCTTTGGTTCATATCTATGTGTCTACAGTTATTTGGTTTCTCTCCAGTTTGTTCTGGTTTAGTCTCTCTATCTTAGGGAGGACTCTTAGGGTTTGTTGGGGATGAACTAAGAGGAAGGGCAGTAGCCCAGTGCCTGTAACTGGACAGCCAGGGATGGGGCATGCATTCTCCTCACCCCAAAAAGCTCTTCCAGCTGCTGGTGAGTAAAAAAATAACAGGAAAAAAAAAAAAAAAAAAAAAAAGAGGGCAAACTGTTGTATTTGAGACTTTTCCAGATTTGGATATTCTCATCACTCGGCTCTTGTCGTGTCTCTTCCCACCTTGGCTCCTGATGGGGTTGGACTGGAGCATGAATTCAGGATGGGTGTCCTCAGGTTTTGCTCTGCCTCCCCCCAGTGCCTTACAGACGGGTGGCTGTCACCTCGCAAAGCTCACCCAGGGGAACCATCAGCATGTCCTGCGCAGAAGAGCTGGGCTTGGCTGGGAGGTAGGACTTGTCCCACCCCTCCTCTTCTCCTTTCCCCTCATCCAGGTTAAAGACCAGCTTCAGCTTCTCCGGCTGCATGGAGTTCAAGATGATAATGCCCAGCCCCAGCAGCAGGCACAGCAGCCCTGCAACACATGGCATGGGGAGAAACATCAGCACCTTCTGCCTGCTGTGTTCCAGCCCCATCCAGACCTGGATCTGGGATTGGAGGCCAATGGCACATGGCATCACCCAGCAGGTTGAGGGAGGGTGGTATTTCCTTCTCCACGTCTGGACTCTACCATCAGTTCGGGCTCTCCAGTACAAAAGAGAAGTCAGTGAACTGGGGCAGATGGCCAAGAGAGTTGGGGCTGGAGCCCACCATGTATGGGGAAAGGCTGGAAGAGATGGACTTGCTTAGCCTGAAGAAGAGGATTCTACAGTGGGACCTAATTGCTTCTGCTACTGAAAAAGAGCCAGTCTCTTCTCAGAGGTACACAGTTGTAACATGGGAAATTCCGGTTTGATAAAAGGAAATAATTGCTGCCTGTGAGTGGGACAGCTGTGGGGCAGGTCCTGAAAGGCAGAGGGGATATCTAACCATGGGGACATCTACTACCGGACTGAACATGGCTGATGTGGTTTTGAGGTTATCCCTGCTCTGGGCAAGGGTTGGGAGAGACATCCCCAAGGGTCCTTCCAGGCCAGGTCTTTCCCTGACCCTGTGATTCATGGCTTTCATTGTATTCGTCTGGGCACACCTCCATGCAGATAACTTTGGCCATTCAAGTCTCCTGGCTGCTCAGCTCTTTTTCCCCCAGTCTCAATGACATTATCCCCCAGTCCCGATTATGTTATCCTGAATTCTTATATGACATGTTAAAAAAAAAAAATTTCTCTGAGCAGCCATAGAGACAGAAGGAATGAGGTGCTGTTGGGGCATCACTGAGCATCGTCACTGCAGGGGGGAGAACAAAAGCCCCAAAAGCAAGCTGAGCACTCACCTGTTGCTAATGTCAGCCAAAAAGATCCACCATAGCCCGTTTTCAGGGAAGCTGGGCCAAACTGGATGGGACACTTTGGCGTGTTCCTCGCAGTGACGAAGAAGAGCAGTGAGAAGAGCATCAGCGCAGCAGTGAGCAGCAGCATGTAGCTGCCGTAGAGCAGGATGGGCATGGAGAACAACAGGATGGAAATGAGCAACGTGCAAAAGGCCATCCTGCAAAAGGACCCCAAAATTG